CTTGCTTGACTGAACTTTAAATGATCTTAAATTACTTTATCACAATTGCTATTGGCGTTGAACTAAATTTCCATTTCCAAATTCATATACTTGTTTATAGTAAATGTACAACAACAGAACATAAATCTATACATGCACTTTTTTGCAAACCATTTATTTTAAGCTTCGTTAAAAGTAGATTTGTTAACTTAACTTGCTATAAAACTGTATACTTTTTATAAACTTTTTTCCTGCCAATTTAGATGGGGAACATTGTAAAAATTCATCAAACCATGTTACGTAAAAAGATACACAAAAATGTTATCGAAAACATGATGCATATTTTTCTTTAATTTGAAAATCTTTAGTTTTCTTTTCTTGCACATAAAAACTTTAATACTTTTTGAAAAAAATGTTCTTCAAAAATACACCAGAATTCAATATGGTATTTTCATTTGTATATACCCTGTGAATAATAGGTTGATTTTTAAATTGGCTAAAATATAAACCATCACTATAGCTTTAGAGATAGCAATTTCAATTGTATAAACATGGATAATATAATGATATTATGATTTTATTATTTATGATATATTAGGTATTTTTATTGTTATTATATTTATTATTATTACTGTTATTATAAAATAAATAAATGTTGCTCCTATTGCTTTTATTTGTTGTTGTTGTTTGCATAAAGTTTCTTATCATAGTAGAAGCACTAAGATTAAAAAATAAAGATAAAACTCAAGAATGTGCTTGTTATAACTTTACTAGACATTTCATGCATGTTACACTCATTTTGGTTTTAGAAATAATTCCTTAGCCATCCTCACAAAATGACTAATAAACAAACCAACTACAGTAAACATGTTATGATTTAGTTTTCTTTATTATCAAAATATCTCAACAATCGCGGTTCACTTTGATATTATGATCACAAATAATATTCTAATATCATGATTTAAATATAAATTGTATAAAAACATTTGTATTATAGTATAAAATCATGTTTCACAAATTTTGTATTGAGTTGGTATTTGATAAAAACATTTTACCACGCATGACCAATAATTAAATATTCACATAAAACCATAGCATAAAACAAATAATTTAACGATGCTTTTTGCATCTTAAATTAGGGATGTACCGAAGCTTCAGCTTCGGCTTCGGCGTGCCGAAGCTTCGGCAATTTTGCCGAAGCATCGGTTCGGCCGAAGCCAGGTCAATTTTTTGCCGAATCTTTGGCTTCGGCAAAAAATTTTAAGTAATTAAAGGTATAAGCTACTGTGGGACAAGTTATAAAAATAAGCTAATTGCCAGTGTCTAATAAAGTTATAAATTTAGGACTACAGAGTTAAAGTTGGAGTCTATACCATATACTTAGTATTATTTACTCCCAAGTATCTTGTTATGGAGGGGATAATAATAAATAAGTAAAAATGTTTTGAAAAAAATAATAAAATTAGGGAAGGTTCTTATACACTTTGAAAACTTCCAAGTGTGACTTTAGATGAACTGAAGCAGCATTTCTATGCAGAATAAAAACCTTATAATTTAAAACAAGTTAAAAGTTTTTAAAACCTTAATTTGTATTATGTAACGAATTCATATTAATTATTCTGTAGGATTACCGCAAATAGAACAAAATTTGGTTTCAACATTTGACCTATAAACCTTAGTAATCTCTCTTTAAAGAAGATTAAAGATACGTTGCTACTATTTTAAATTGTGTGTATGTTTAATTTTTTAAAACTTTATTTAACCATATTAATAAAAATTTACAAATTTTCATCGTAAATTTACAGAAATTGGTTAGGTGTCACTTATACAGATACAAAATAGTCGATAGACACATAAAAAATAAAAATAGACACATAAAAAATAAAAAGTTCTCAACAACAAAAAAGGAAGAAAAGCAAATGAAATATAAACGAGGAGAATAAAAAAAGAAAAAAAAAGCCAACAAAAACTAGATAAATTAAAAGAAAAAGAAAAACAATGATAATAACTATCCTTGCTCTTTTATTAATATTATGAATACTTCTAAATTGAATTTATATATTAAACATGTAAACCAATATTCTGGTTTCTTCTTATAATATTATGAAGACTTTTAAATTTTATTTAAAATAAATTAAAGGTTGAAGCTTTGATTACTTTGAGCTCTTATATTTATCATCAAAATTTATTTAAGTTAAATAAACAATTTAAATCAAATAAATATCAGCCTGCTCAGTCCCTGTTTATTTATAAATATAAAGTAAATAATAATATAATTATAAACAAAAAATTTATAAAGTATTCTATTTATTATTTTATTTAAAGCTCACTCTACAGAGTTGTTAGATTACTATGGAAGCTTTTATCACAGATAGTTAATATTTGATTTCAGATACTGATGCAGATTTATTCATTATAGAGACAGAAGAAGAATGAATACTAAAATTTCAAAGTGTAAAAGATTAAAAAAAGCTATAGAAAGTGTTATGTAGTGTAAAGTTAAAAATGATCAAAAAAAAAAACTTAAAAGTGTGTAAAAAAGAAGTTAGAGAGCAATTTATCATTTGTACTTTTTTTTAGCAGCAGGTTCACAACAGTTGTAGTGGAATCCAAAATCGTCTTAACTTGGGTTTTTTTCAGTTTAGAAAATATTCGTTTAATGAATACAGAGAAGTAAAAAAAAGATATTGAAATAAATAGCAATAAAAAGATAAAGTGTGTTTCTAAGATTTTTTATGTTGTAGATACAACTAGATCAGCTAAGAGTGTTTATTTAAAGAAAGAGTGATCAAGTGCAAAAGATAAATTTACTCTAGTAATGTTCACAGATTTTTATCAATTTCTATCAACAAAAGGTGCATTAAAAATAAAAATAAAATATACAGCACATGAAAAGATGCTATATAACATTAATATGGTTTGCACACAGAAAAAGTAGAACTAGAAGTAGGAAAATTTGGGGAGAATGTTTCAAAAAAGCTTAAGTTTAAAAAAAAAATGCTCGGTGCGGTCAAGTATCAGAAACGACATAATGAGAAATATTTAAACAGGGGCGCTGAGAGCTTTTGCTCTTCCTGGAACAGCAACCCTGACTGGCGTCCTCATTTTTATACGATTTTTCTATATTATTAGTCAAGGACCATAGTTTTGGTACCTTTTTTGTTTTAAACCCCTGCTGATCTGAATGCTGATTAAATTTTAAGCATGTATAGTGCCGAAGCTTCGGCAATGTGGCTTCGGCCGAAGCTTCGGCTTCGGCAAAATTTCAGCTTCGGTACATCCCTATCTTAAATACTTAAATATTCGCCAAAAAATAAACATTACGTCACCTAACTTTACGCTATGGAATCATGTTTCTACCAAAATAATCAACAAAATTAAGTAGACATATTTAGTTAACCGAGTTAGCGCATAATATTGTATGCGCCAAGTTGATAATACTATTTTTAAGGTAATTAGGACGTCTAATGTAGGTCTTAGTGACGTCAATAGGACGTCTAAATATGAAAGTCCTAATATCGCCATTATAAAGTCACAAGGACGTCCTAACAAAGACGTCTTAACCGGACGTCTTTAGGACGTCCTAATTTGGTATGAGACGTCGCGACCTAGTTAGGACGTCCGTAAGACGTTTGATTAAGGACATAATTTAGAAACCAATAAAAAAATGCTTAAATAAATGGTTAAAAAAAAAAATTCTAAAAATTTAAAGATAGTTTTTATAAATATTAGAGAAGTTTAAAGCCAATTTTTAGAAACACAAAGAAATTTTCGTGCAAAGTTACCCAACAACAACAACAACAAGCTATTTATTTTCCATTTTAAAATAATTTTTACAATAATAAGGTAAATAATAATAACCATAATTATAAAATAATAAGCAATAGTAATAATTTATAACAATAATAATAATAATAACAAAAAAAAAAAATTATACATAATAATAATTACTATAATCATAAGTAAAATGGTATGTTATTTCTTATAATAATAAGTTAATGATTAGTATGGATGGTGTCACTCATACAGAAGTCTGATCAAAGGAGTGACACCATTTTTCAAAATAATATGACTAATAATAAACATATAGACATAAAACATAAAATATAGACACACATTAAGTAAACTTTTTGAAAATCATATATGTAGGTAATAATAAAAGAGAAAAGAAAAACAAACAAAAAATAAGGATAATTATTATAGTAATAGAAAAAAATTATAACAAAATACTTTTCAGAATTTTTTTGTAATTTTTTTCTATTACTATAATAATTATCCTTATTTTTTGTTTGTTTTTCTTTTCTCTTTTTTACATTATTACCTACATATATGATTTTTAAAATGTTTACTTAATATGTGTCTACCCAGCAAACATCAAGCAGGCGGACCGATAACGGACCGCTGTCAGCACTTATGCCATGCCGACGTCGGCCGCCCGCTGTGTTGCCGCGTTGGCTTGCACACTGTATTTACATCGGTCCGTTAGCGGAAAACTGAAGGTGGTTCGACAGCGGACCGATGGCGGCAAATTGACAACGTTTGAACAACGGTCCGTCAGCGGCTAACCGATGATAAAGCCATAGCGGAATAGCATAGGATCTATAATAAGTTTTGACTAAGATTTGAATGCATTGATATACATATAATTATTTTTGTTTTTTTGTTTGAATAGAACGCACTTATCGTTAGCAAAAATCTTTATATCTTTCAACTCAAATTTTTACTCATAAAAAAATGCAAATCCTGCCAATGCCTGGAAGACACATCAAATACCTTTTGACTTTGTGCATATGTATATAGACAAAATACGAATTTATTACACTAAAATTCTCCTACCACCGATAAACACTATCCCAACTGTAAATCATTAGGTCATACGTGGCAAAGCTTAAGCTCGGTGAACAAAAAGACTAATCAGAAGTTATAATAAAAATCATTTGAAAATTGCAATTTACAATTACAACATGAATATAAAAGTAATAATTTTTTTTAAAATAAAACAAAATATAAAGTATATTTGCATCTATAGATATATACTATTGCTTCACTTGCGTTTAGCGAACGTTTAAAATATAAAATAGTTAATTTTCAACATATCTATAAGTTCAGTTTATTCTCATTTCAATCGAAAACTAAATATATTCAGGAAACCATGTATTAAAAATTGATTTACGTTGCAGTCTGCAGACTTCTAACTTTTATCTAAAGGCAGGCAATGATATATAATAAAAATATTGAAACAGTCAAGTTTAGAGTTATTACAACAAAGATAATAACCTTCTCAGCCCTTAAAAACGTGTTCGTTTGAAATAGTCTGATCACCAGTTATTGACAAATAACTTCAGATACTAAGTGCATCTACATTGAATAAATATAAACTTAATTTTATTATTAAAGCATAATTTAAAACATAAAAACAACAAAAACATTGCTTAATTTGAAAAGCTATGGAAATAACTTTAAAAATAAGCTATATAAAAATAAAGTCACATTGCGTGCCTTTAAAAAAAATAAAACTTCATATACAGTAACCTACCTGGTATACCTAATCCTATAAATATGCTTGAGGGGTTTATGAACAATAAAAAAATTGTTATTTCATAAAAAAAATTATCTTTAATTTTAATTTAACAAATAAAATAGTATTTAAAAATGAGATACTTATATGCCAGGTTGGAAGTAAAACCGTAAAACCCACAGCAACTTAAGGGCAATGGTGAACCTTTTGCAAAGCATAAGTCTAAGACACAAGTGCACATCTGAAAAAGAAAGAATCAGAGACAGAACACATCAATAAAAATATACTTTGATAAACTAAAATATAGTTTGCACATTGAACATAGTTTTCACTAAGGGTTCGGCAAATGCATCTGCGCAGACCTGCGCAGACGTCGGCGCCGACGTCTGCGAAAACAGTTTAAAGGATACGAAAAATTTAAATTATGATAAAAAAATTACTTCAGACATTTGATTCAGATAATTTAATTATCTGAATCAAATGCCTGAAATTAAATATTTTTTTAAATTTAATTTCAGACAATATTTAATAAAATAATTTCAGTTATTTTGAAAAACTCGTAAAAAGTAGGTAATTATCTACTTTTTACGAGTTTTTCATTACTTGTCTGTTTCTTTTTTGTTCGAGCTACATATAATCAATCAATATAAACTTTTTAAAGTGTTTCTTACTACAATTTAAAATGATTTAAAATAAAGAAATTGCGTATTTTCGTCATAACAAATATTTAAAATGGAAAACATCAAAATTTCGAATTATTTGACAAATCTTGATCGAGGGAAGCGTTCTGGCATTTGTTTAGCATGTAATAAAACTGTTCAATGGTCGAAGGAACGCCTTGCAGCCCATAAAAGATCAACATGTCAAAATGCCAGTGTCGAGGAAAAAAGATTGTTTTATAAGCGTAATTATGAATCGTCACATCTGATCAATGACTCTCAGCCACTTCCGTCTACGTCTGATTCACCGATGCAGCGTGTACATCCACCGATTAATGAAGAGCTCAAAAATGATATCGACACAAAGCTTGCAAATTTTTTTTACCCTACGGGTATATCATTCGTTTAGTGGAATCGGAGGTCTTTAAGGATTTTGTGAAGTCGCTCAATCCATCGTACGCATCTGTCATCCCGAAAGCCAAATCCTTATCAGGATCTCTGCTCGACAAACAATACACAAAATGTTCTATTTATGTAAATGAAAATTTGAATTCTGAAACAAACTTAACACTGATTTCTGACGGCTGGACGAACATAAGAGGCGATCACATAGTGAGTTTTTGTATTAAAGCGCCCGAGCAGAGACCTTTTTTTACACCTCGATAAATACATCCGGAATCATTCAAAATTCATCTGAAGTTGCTGAAAAGTTATTGAGAAGATTGGCTCACAAAAATTTAACAGTTTCATAAGCGACAACACTCCTGTAATGAAATCAGCGTGGAGAATCATCGAGGAGAAATATCCACACATCTCGGCTAGCGGATGCGGAGCTCATGGAGTCAACTTGCTTGTGAAGGACATAGTTTCTACAATTGAGGCCACAAAAATAGTCAAAGATGCAGAGAAAATCATCAAATATGTGAAAAATCATCACATCGTGAAAGCAAAGTTTGATGAAAGACGAATTGCAGCAAATATTTCTCTTTCATTGTCAATGCCTATATCTACACGATGGTTTAGTTATTATAAATCAATGAGCAGTCTCCAGCTATCAAAATACGTTCTTATTAAGTTGGTAGACGAAAAAAGTCCATTACTGAAGGAAATTCAACCAAAGAATACATCTGCTGCTGTTATGGCGTTGATAAAATCTAACCCATTTTGGGACCGTCTCTCTAAGCTTGTCAAAAGCATTGAATTTCCTTCCAATGTGATCGGAAAGCTAGAAAGTGATACAGCTCCATTGTCTCTCGTGTATGATTACTTTGGTCAAATGTACCATTCATATATGGACGATAAAGACATACAAACAACAAAAAGTGCAATCTCATCTCGATTTTCTCTTTACACCATGTATTGGAATTGCTTTCATATTAACGCCTAAAAATGCAGCTGAAGGTTTATATTTGAATGAAGATAAAACCGATTTTATCACTGCTACAGTTGAATTCGCCAAAAAGATCAAACCTGAAATTGCTGCCACTGCTGAGGATGAATTGATTGCTTATATAGGAGAAATTTCTGTGCTGCCTGAGAGAAGAAAAGAAACAATATTTAAGATGAACTCGCGAAAATATTGGAACATTATCGGTCGCGATAAATATCCTGCTCTTTATGAAATTGCTACGCCTATTAACGAAATGATCTGCTCATCGGCTACAGCAAAAAGAGCTTGGTCAACCTTTTGATTTATTCACTCGCGACTAAGAAATCGTCTTACGAATGAGAAAGTTGAAAAGCTAGTATTCTTGTATACCAATAGCGTGCTGATGGACACAAATGACAAGACTGATTACATTTTTGAAGAAGGTGCAATTCTCAATGAAATTGAATGTCAAGAAATCACCGAATAGGCGCCAGCATTATATATTTTTATTACTGTAAGAATCTTTGAAAACTCCTATTGTTACTAATCACTGAATTTATAATAAGTTAAAAGATTACTTAAAACATTTTTTAAGTTTAAAACTTTTTTTGTTGATTTCAATAAATCGTCAGTAATAAAAATATCTGCGCAGATCTGCGCTGAGAGACGAACCTTAGTATATTTTAGCAGCCTTCTGATTCAGAACGTGCTTAAAATACTCTAAAAAAGCTTTAGCATTCATATTAGATAATAATATGAGCAAATCTGATTACTTACACTTGAGAAATAATACCGTGAGTAAAGGTTGTAATCTCTATCCTGCGTACAAAAATGTTCGTAGACCACTTTTGAAAAGAAAATTATCCAAGGAAAAAAACAGAAAATTCAAATAAAGTTTTGTGACAAAGTTTGACTGGTAGTTGATATGCCAATATCTGGTGGCTCTGGGTCATCAAATAATGGAAACGCTGCTAGAAGACTTTTTTAGAATACAGAAAAGTTTGCTCTAATTCTTGAACTCGATGTCAGTGTGATAAAGATGTTACATGTTATTTTTTGTACATTGTTATCTAGCTTTCTAATTGACACTTCATTATTTAGGGAGTTTTGAGTTTCTTGTAAAAATTTAAAGAAGTTTTGTGAATCATTTTCCAAAAAGTGTTTGCGGTCGAGGATTTATCAAGGCAACTAATATGTTCTTTTGATCCTTTGATAAGTAGTTTGAGAAAGTCATATTATCCTAGGAGCCTTTTCTAATTGGCATTCTAAATGTACTCAAAGAGGTTCCAATTTTTGACTAACTATAAATTGCAATTGTATAGTTTTCCATGTTATGTAAATAAACTTTTTTTTGAATATACAAATTTGCTTGTACTCTTACATATACTTTATAAAGTATTCAATAGCTCTAACTGTATTAACACATGTTGATTTTTATTTGGTTGCTAAGGACACGTGAACTGCATAGATACAATTAGTTTGAATTTTATTAACTGTATCTATAAACCCTTAGAGGTAAGATTGTTTTCAAAGTTTTAATTTCATTTTTAAATTAAAGAAATTTTAAATCAAGCAAGTTTGATTAAAAAATAATAATAATAATAAATGGTATCAAAGAGCCTAAAACGGCATAAGAACACCAAAAATTACTAATTTTTGTTTGTGTTTGTTTGTTTGTTTGTCATTTAAACACATATAGTAGCATCGTAGCAATAATATCAGTTTAGTTTATAAATTCGACATATTAAGAAAGTCTCTTAACTTAGGTATCTTTGCAAAATACTCTGTTGCTATCGAATATAGGTATCCATGGCAACTAAATAAACAATCTAATGGCACCATTAAATTCGTAGTATGAAATATACTTAACCTGGCAATTATGGGGAAAATCTGATTAATATTTTAAGTTATTACTTTTATCCAGCTAATAATGATTTTGACCCACTGTGTTATGCCAGTTTGCACTTGTGCCAGTTTTTGCAACTGCTTCGCACTTATGGCGATTCGCGCTTATTCAGTCGTCCCATAAGTTTTAGTATGTGTTTTTTTCACGTTATATTGTATATGAATTATATATATATATATATATATATATATATATATATATATATATATATATATATATATATATATATATATATATATATATATATATATATATATATATATATATATTATATATATATAAACTTTTTTACTTTTATATAGATATTTATATTATATGATATATACTATAGCTTGTCTGATATTATAGCTTGTATTATATATATTAACAGTTTGCATTTCGGCATTTCAAATCTTGTTAATAAGTTTGTTAACTTTTTAAGTGCCAGGATTATTGTGGATTTATTGTTATGCATTGCGTTTCATTCCATGCATTTAATGTTTATTTTTATTATGTTGATCTCTCTCTCGTAAAATTTCTCTGGTTTCAATTTTGATTATTCGTAGATTCCTTTTATACCCTGGTATGGGTCGCCACAATTTAGTGTGGGGAAATCTTAAAAGTTTTCCTAAGACACTAATGATTTCACTCGTTTGTTTATTTATATTTTATCATTATTTGACTTTAAAATTATTTACAATAATAAACCGTAATATATATACAATTCGTAACCACAAAATATATTATAACAATATCCGTAAATGAGATAGTTTAGTTTCCCAAACCTATCAGAAGACCACATCGTTATAAGTTCATTAAGTTTAATATTAAAAGATAACCGCTAATTGTTTTCTTGGAGCGTGGAAGAAATCATTCACCACAGTTGTACAACAAAATTGCTGCTTTCAGGGTTGTTTTCAAATTTAACAATTCAAATCGTGAGAAAATGTTTAAACTCACTATAATGTTTCATCAAAATAAAACAAGAATAGAAAAAAAAAAATCGATTTCCGCAATACTTTAGAGCAAAGCTGAACCAACCCAATATAGAGATGTCAAGGGTCAATGTGTTTTTGACGTTTATTGATAAAAATGGAAATTGCTTTATAAAACTAGAAAATGCTTTGAAAAGATAGTATAAAAAAGTAAAACTATATTAACAGGGACTGAATTCTTAGTATAACGTTACCTAAGTAACTGTATAAAATAACAAAAAAATAATACGGGGAGGTTGTTTTAATAATAACACCCACTTTTGATATAATCAAAGCAATCTCAAAGTATTTTTTATTGTTGTTTTATACAGCTATTTAAAATAATAATTTAACACTTGTTCAAAATAAAACGTGTTTAATCAAACACAGTATTAAATTCCTAAACTTACCATGTTTTAGGTCAGTAATATTTCAAAGCTAGTACACATTTTATGATTTTTTCATTTTAATGCAAATGTTCAATCGCTTCATACTATTTATTTGGTGGTCA